AGTAACATCATGAAATTAAGCTTCAATTGTATGTGTGTGGTGAGTGTGAAAATGGTCAGTACATCATGAAAGTATGTGTATGTGGTGAGGTGTATGTGAAAGTGGTCAGTCTGTGTTTGTGAATCTATGTGAAAGTGTGAATATGTAGTCAGCTGTGTATGTGTGTGAAAAGTGGCCAATCACTCTTTGTGAATGTATGTGCAATTGGCTGGCTGTGCATGTGTGTGAATATGTGTGTGTGCTGGCATGTTTAAATTGCGTGAGGTTGAAAAATCAAACCTCTGACTTTTGAGCCAAAAAGTTCAAACAAAACGTACTTAGGATGTTCAATTCCTGTGAGCACCAGAATTCGAAAAGGTGCATTTTTCTGGAGCAAACAAACAATCAGCCTATCAGGGTTGGCACTTTGGCCATTCAAAGGTTGACAGCCTTTTGCAGGCTTCATGCAGCCTTCTCAGGCTTACCTTTGCTTTACATTTTTTGCAGGCATCCCTTTGCTGCCTATAGCCTTTGGCAGGCTTCATCAAAACATTTGCCAAAAGTGCACAGGATTCTCAGCCTTTTCAGGCTTTAAGCAACCCAATTTTGCATTTCACCAAGCTTTCTTTTGTCCAGCCTTCTTCACAGGCTTTTTCAATGAGCTGATCCATTATTTCGTCTTGCTGCTTCCCTTTGGGAAGCTCCACATTCACCAGGCAATACTTTTTGCCAGCCATGTCTGGCTTTGCTTGGATGTAAGCTTTTTTGGCAGCCCTTGTTTCATGGACAAGTCCAAAGCTTTTGGAAGGAAGCCAAGCTTTGCCCCTAGCCTTTGCAGGCTTTTTGTCAGCCTTGTCCTTTTGCTCTTCCTCAGCCTTTTCAGGCTCTGCCCCAGCCTCTTCTTCACCCTGTTCTAGTTTTTCTTCAGCCTTTGCAGGCTTTTTCTTTACCTTTGCCTTGCTGGCTGCTGGCCTCTTCAAAACAGTTTTGGCAGCAGGTTTTTTGGAAGCACCAGCCTTTGCAGGCTTCTTCAGAATTTCTTTTTCTTTTTCGAATTCTTCAACTTCTGGCAGCTCTGATGCATGAACAATGCCAGAGCTTGAGACAGACACAATCTCTGACTCATTGCTTTGCTCAGGCTCACCGTCCCAAAGGAATTTGACAGCCTTCACAGGCTTGCTTTCTGAAGCCTTTGCAGGCTGGCTTTCCTCTTTGCTTGGACCAGGTGATTGCTGCCCCCTCATCCTTTTTGTTGCAGGCTTACTGGTGCTGCTGCTAGCACTCCCAGCCTTTTGCAGGCTTTGCTCTTCTTGTTTGAAAATCACTTGGAAAAGTGTTTTCAGCACAGGGTCGGTTTTCTCACCAGTTTTCATATTACTTTTTTTCTTTTTGAGCCAAGCTTTGTATTCATGCAAACTGTTTACAATTTGCTTGACTTCAGAACCTGTCAGCTTTGGACAAGCATCCTTGAAAGCTAGCCTTTCTTCAGGCTTCTTGTTGCTGCTGGCTCCAAACCACAGGGTCAAGAAAGTGACCAGCCTCTTGCAGGCTTGGTATACATCTGTTGGAAAATCAGCCACAGTGCAATGTGGTATTGATCCTTTGATCAAAGCGGATAAGGCTTTCACCTGGTCATTTGCTTCAGGCAAGATGATATTGGAGGCCATGGCAATATGAAAACCAATTGCTAGCAGTGAAAAGAAGTGCTTTTTTTGTCTTCTAGTGCAAAACCTTGCCTAGTTCTAGAAGTAAAAAAATTGACTTCTGCAGAAGTTGTTTTTTGTCTTCTGAAAAGCTGGCTAGAAGACAAAATTTTTGACTTCTACATGTGACATCTCTCAGAAGACACTTTTGGAGCCAGAAGATAAAAAAACTGTCTGGCAGACAAGTTTGCACCATTGCAAGAAGTCAAAAAACCTGGCTGCCAGTCAAAAAAACTGTCTGGCGGACATAAATCTTGACTTCCCAAATTGACTTCTGGGAGCTCAGAATCAAAAATTTTGTCTGCCAGCCAGGTTTTTTGTCTTCTCGGAAGCTTAGGGAGGTCTCAAAGGCACGCTTGGCCATTTCATGACGAAAGTGGCCACAGCGAACTAGCGAACCAGGAGACCATGAACTACCAGAGTGGAAGAGGCCAGAGGTGTGGCCAACAAACGCAAGCTACAGGATGGTTAGACACACACGTATGGCAGAAGTATGAGATTCAGATGGAAGAGATGCAAAAACAGTTGCATGACACACAATCCGGGCTTCTGGGAGCTGTTGCTGTGCACACTGGCAAAATGCCAGAGAAGTTACAGTTTGTAGGAAGTGCCATGATGAAGGGCCCGTTTTTGAATTTCACGTGACGTTATAGAGGTACAACATGAAACGATAGGGCGTTTAGGCCCAAAACATGTCCGCGAAAAGGCGCTCGCGCTGCTATGCATAAAACTTACAAGAAGTTGGTTTTTGCACTTTTAAAAAGTAGTTCAATCAGAGCCAGAAGAGAACATCAACGCCCACTTTCCTTTTTTCTGATTTTGGAAAGCAAAGCATGTTCTTTTCATGTTACATTGAACCTCGCTTTCGTGGCGCCAAAGGTACTGGGCTAATTGCCATCTTCAAGCACCCGCTCACCTGGCTGTTTAGAAAGAGAGAAGTCCATGTTGGCAAACAGCTACAAGCGCTAGATTTGAACAGAAAACATGGCAATTGGACGATGTCGCTGCCTCAAGCCTTCAGTATTAGCACGTCTTTTGAAGAGTGCGGCAGGCGTTCGTGAGCCACATCGGTTGATATGTCAATCAGTATAGTAGTGGCGAGATTATGCCTTGGCTAGTGGCCATGCTAGCGAAGAGATACGCGCGGTCCCATTAGGCGGTCCGTTCAGTTGCAGTGTTTGCAAGAGCCTGGCTACATGTTAGTGAGCCTTTTTCCTCTCGAAGTTGCACAATTTGACCGTGGTAGAGAATCTGGCAACAACTTGCCAGAAATCTGTGCGTTGTGCGACCTCCAAGCGACAACTCGACCAAATAACGGCTTACGTTTCCTTTTCTATGTGTTTCTGTGTTTTTCTTTATACTTATACTTCTTTTTGTTTTCCTTTCATGTTTTCTTTTCAACCGCCAGGCTTTCGATTTTTCTGCTTTGTGTGCCCTTCGGAGTGTGGTCCTATTACGCTGGGCGCGGCGCTGAGGAAAGGGGAAAATTAGAATTGGTTCCTAGTAGCGTCCAAAGGCATCCTAGCAGCGTTTTTACTGTTTCTAGTATGGAACAAAGACATACTAATAGCGTCCTTGCTCTTAGTAGACCGTTCCTAATGGTGTCTTGTTACAGGTGAAACGACTCCCAATGAAGGAGAAAAGGAACAGACAACAAGAAAAGGAAGGATAAAGTCACAAGAACGCTACTAGGAACGGCATCGTTAATAGCAAGAACGCTACTAGGGGTAGGAACGAACAGCTACTAGGAACGACCAAAGTTTTAGGTATTTGAAACTTTTTAGTAGCAAACGACCGAAGTTTCTCAAAAAGGAATCTTTTCACCTGTAACAAGAAGCTAGGAACAATTGTTTCTCTTGCTTGTTCGTCGCTTTCGCCTCGTCAAGGTGGAATGCGGCGTACACCTTTTGGCTCAATTTCTTTGCACTTCGCCACGTTTTCGGTGAACAAAATGGAAAGAAAAATAAAGGAAACCAGTTTGCAAAAAAAGAAATATAAAATGAGCAAAACAACAATAACACGTTAAGACGTATGATAACAATGGTTAAGAAGTCAGACGCGCCAGGCGATGTTGCCCATGGCGAAGATTCTGGGCGACATCACCGAGGAAGTTTGACTCTAGCGATGCGACTTGCTTCGAGAATCGAGTTCTTCGAGTTTCCATATTTGCTTGGAGAAAATAGAGTAAAATAAAAGAGAATTTGTTTACTTTGGAATACTTACCCGGAAGACTTTAGAGTACTTACCCAGAAGAGAATGTCTATTTTTGGAAAGCTTAAAAAGTACTTGAGACCATTTGCGCTCATTGGAAATTGGGTTCGAGTTACGACTCTGAGAAGACTCTCGCAGCCCAGAGGATCACAGATCAACTTTATCTGATCCAGGGTTTTGGGTATTGATTTTGGCCGCGAGTATTGATATTTTAGCTTCTTATATAGCTATGTTAAAACTTTCAAAAATATCAATGTTTCAAGGGAAAAATATTGATACTCAAAGGTTGCTTTTCAATAAGAAATATTGATACTTGATGTTTTTCTTAACATCCAAACCATGCATCCTGCAGAAGGATGAATGCATGTGGAGGGTATCATCTGATGAAGTTTAGATCATGCGCAGCAATTTGTTGGCCAAACTGGGAAAGCAGCCACTTACACATGGAGACCACAAGGGATGAATGAACTTACCACATGTGGCTCTGGACTGATTCCCAATTGCCAGACAGCTGGCTGGATGGTAGTGAGTGGGAGAAGGAAAAGATGGAGATGGAGGGCAAGGACAAAGACAAAAAGCAGGAAAGGTCGAGATCGAGGTCCCCAAGAAGAGCTCCTCCCAATACACCAGAAGATAGGTACAAGACTGAAGAGCCAACTTTACAATGATTTTTGTCCACAGCTCAGTTGTGGATAATTGATCTAGTATCTTTCATATGCATGGTTGAACACATGTATGAGTCTCAGCATGTGGCATGGAAAAGTCTGCTCTGTAAGCTGCACACTGCAGAAGTGTTCCCTGCAGAAGGAAAAATAACTGACATGTTTTTGTTTTTTCTTGCTTTTAAAGCTCCAGCTGGCAGTGTATAAGTGTTGTTGCAACCAATATGGTCTGCTGTGTTGACCAAAGCCTTCTTGGTTTGGCCTTAAGTGCCAACAAGTCATGGGCTGATGTGGGCAACTATGAGAGGCGGTCAAAGTCCCAGGCAGCCAATGGAGCAACTTTGGCAAAGCACTTTGTAGCCTGAATGTAGCCAAGCAGTTTTTAATACTTTTTAAGTTCATTGCAATTGATTTGGGTCAGCATTCATATTCTTGGACCACTGAGGATCTGTTGAAAGCACTTTTGGCCATACAGCCCAGTGGGCAGTTCCTCGTGACCCAAGTTAGGGCTGCCATCTTCAAAGTTGTTGGATTGGAGCCAAAGATCAACACATCATCCATGAAGCATTTGACATGGGCAGGGGGGCGCTTTGAAAGGATCGCCGCTATGATGTACCATCTCAGGAGGGCTAGAACCAACCAGAAAAGTACCAGCAATTGGTTGCCAGGTGTGAATCACATGCCATGGAGAAAGTCCAAGAGTTGCTCAGCATGCTGTCCATGGACACCTCTGATGAGCAATCCCTGGCTGGCAGCAAAGATGGAAGCAGGGGTGACAAGGAGGATGGCAGCAAGGGTGCTGGCAGCAAGGATGATGACAGCAAGGGTGGTGGCAGCAGGGAAGACCTTGGCAGCAACCAGGAGCAAAACATGGCTGCAGCAGAGCTTCCAAAGGCCACAAGTCCCAAGGCCAAAAAGCCCAGAGCCAAGGCCAAGGCTGTCAAGACTGAGCCTGGCAAGGCCACCAAGCCAAAGAATGCCATCACAGTGTTCAGGAAAGAGTACTACAAGAATACCAGCACTTATGGAGTGAGAAAATACGAGGATGGAAAGAAGAAGGGGCTGGCCACAACAAGTCTATACCCAAACAGCTCTTGGACCAGCTGAGTTGCAAAGTGCTTCATGACCTCAACAGAAACATTGACATCTGTGATGACAAGCTTGAGGAGATCATGCTTGTGACCAAGCACAAGGTTTGGAAACTCCACACCACAGAATGAGCAACCTTGGATTGGATTTGTGGGTAGCTGGTGACTGATCATCAGATTTGGGGGTGTGGAAAAAGGTGAGGCTGTAAACTGCACTGCAGAAGTGTTCTTTTGGTTTGGTGAAGGGTTTTGCCCCTGCAGAAGGGGTTAAGTAAAGGGGTCTTCTACACATCCCCCCTGCAGAAGGGTTTGGTGAAGGGTTTTGCCCCTGCAGATGGGGTTAAGTAAAGGGGTCTTCTACACATCCCCCTGCACAAGGGTTGTTTTATTGTTTTCGCCTCTGCAGAAGGTG